CTTCAAATCTGTCAGTCAATAAATTGATAATTGGGTGAACGTTGCAGGGTTACAGCTAAACAGTCTGTATGATTTGATTTGGTTTGATTTCTCAAGTTTGGCAAGCAAAAGTTGGTCATGTGAAAATATATTGTGACTCTAAACAGCCCCAGGATTCCACCACCCACCTTGGGTGAAAGATTGAGTTTCTAAATCTTTCAATCTAGAGAGAAAGACCCTTCTCTGAGAACTGTCCATGGGTTGCATGATGCAGTAGTTCATTGGGCTCAGGATGGTACCAGTGAACCCTGCGCTGATAGTCCTGTGCCTCTGTCAAGGGTCTGGCCATGATTGAGCTCTTTCTCAGTCTGCCTCGTGGCCCACCATCCTGGGACTGTGTCTTACCTGCTTCAGAATACTTCCCACCCTCGGGTTCTCCCGCTTTGACAACATTCACTTCTCTAGGTGGCCTATAGGCCAGTGAACATGGCTAGGACCAGGCTGCGTAATGTGTGTGCTTTTCCTTCCTGTGGATGAATTGAATTGCTTTTGTTAATGGCAAGATAGAGTAGTTCAGAGACCAGAATGGAGGAAATAATAATCCCATCATATCCACATGGAGGTATGTATTTTTAGGAACTGGATTCTTCTAGCATCCCTCTGTGGAAAAGATTCCAGAGCTTGTTGAAACAGAAAAGTATAGATCTACCAAAAATAAATAAATAAATAAAAAATTTAACTCAAGGTCACAAACTTGAAATTTGCCTGAAAAATCCACACTTTGGTTTTTTACTATATAATTGTCTTCCACACTCAATTTACCTGGGAATGAAAATGTTATAATTTAGATTTTTAAAAAGATTTATTTATGCATGCATGCAAGAGCTGGGGTGTAGGCCAGAGATATGATGGGTGAGAGGATACGCCAGAGACAATGTGGGGAGCAGAACAGGTAGATTGACTGAAATAGACTGCTGAGGGGAGCAACGGGCGAGTCAGGAGCAGTCTGCTGCACCATATGGGTCACCTCCCTGCCCAGGGACTGAACTCTCGCTGCAATGGCTGCGGATAGCTTCATAGTGCTGTGTCTTAACCCCTTGCACCACCAAGGAGGCCCCTAATGTAGGTTTTTTGTCTGTAGACTATTATACACATTTTTACAAAAGGGTGGGGCAGCTGAGAGGTGCTAACCCAGCACACTGTCCTGTTGTTTCATCAGATAAGCTTTGACCTCTCCCCAAGAGTTCTAAAGTATTTTCAGTAAACTCTTGGAGTCCTGCTATATGCTGTGCTCTGAGATCAAGCACAAAACCTTCCTTCCTGGAGCTCAGAGTCTAGAATTAATGCTCAAAATACTCTCCTACTGGACCACCGCCACCATCTTTGCCTGGATTTGGGTCTGCCATCTCTCTGTGGGACTGCCAGAGGAATCTTTCCTTGCTTTTTTTCCTTATTAAAAAAAAAAAAAGTTTTTAGCAGTTCTTTTTGAATAAAAACAAGATATGCTCATTCAAGAAAAACTGGAAAAATAAATATATAAACACAAAGTATATCGCTCACCATTATACAGATGTACTCAGTGTTGACGTAATAGACTTTTTGGCAGATCCCTTAGAAACAAAGTAGTTAATCATTGAGTATATAGAACTGAAGTCTGTTTTCCTTTGCTTTCATATCAGAGGACCCAATTTATGTAACACTTGCCAACCCCCTTCATACCCTATGTTCTACCAATCCAGGCTGCTTTCAGCTTCCCAGGCCGCCCTGTGTCTTTTCACAATTTGATCCTTTCTTCACAGTGCTGCTTCCATCTGAACTATCCTCCCATTGGCGTGTCCAGTGAAATCCTTCTCATTTCTCAATTGGTAGTTCAAGCTTTCCCTCTGCCGTTAAGCCTTTCCCTTCCTTTCCAGCCCACCATAGAATAGCCTCCTCCTTTTTTCATATGTCATGGTACCCCTTCTGCCTGCAAGGGCACTTGCTGTAGCTTAAGTTGTGGTGCAGCACAGCCATATCCTAGTCACCCCTATTTCTCCAGTGTTGCAAATATCAGCAGGTGATAGGTGTTTGGGAAATATCTGTGTGAGTACAAACAAATAATTAATTATAGTACTATGTAAAGAATATTGTGCAGGGGAGGCATAAAAGGTGCTTATATGAGCCCAGAGGTAGGGCATTTTATGGGTATGTGACCCAAGATTCAACAGACAGGAAATGTGTCCATTTTTAATATAGCAATACCTTTCTCCATATTTAGTCTGCTTTTTCAAATGCTATTTGCATCTCTGTTTCCTGAATTTGGATAAACTATAGAAACTTTTGTCACTTTCTCCTTATGTAACAGGGTGGTCCCAGGAAAGGGGGATCCTATAACACTTATATACCTTTTCCTCTGTCTCTCGTGGTCCTGAGCCCCATTACATAACAGAAGCTCCCCCTATGACTGCACAGCCCACCACGCGTCAGCTATCCACTACTGTCTGTTTCCCTCCAGGTACAGCATAGAAAATACATGTCACCCCTAAATGCTCTTAGCCAGCATGCTGTCTGAACTCTAGGTCGCCAAGACAAATTCTTGAATTACGACGTTAACTGAGGCACATTAGCCAGCATATAGGTTAACAGCAGCCTCTGTTCTGCCAATGAAATCCTTTTCATTTCTCAATTGGTAGTTCAAGCTTTCCCTCTGCCATTAAGCTTTTCCCTTCCTTTCCAGCCCACCATAGAATTGCCTCCTGCTTTTTTCATACATCATGGTACCCCTTCTGCCTGCAAGGGCACTCACTGTAGCTTAGGTTGTGGTACAGCACAGCCATATCTTAGTCACCCCTGTTTCTCCAGTTTTGCAAATATCAGCAGACACTGTCTCTGTCCTTCTCATCGCCATTCGAGAGTCCTTCCCTGAAGACAACTTGAGCTTCTTTGCTCATGTACTAGATCAGGCAGGAGGAGATGGAACAGATGTCATACTTTGGACTCCTGAGATGCCCTTTAGTCAGTCCATGGAAGAGTTCAGCCTGGGCCATGTCAAGGCAGGTGTTCCACAGGGAGTCCTTGGACAGAGATGCAGACCTGTTTCCTGGGCGATGCGGCCAGAATCCTGACAACCAACAGCCGGCAATGGGGAAGGGACAGGGGAAGGAAAAGACATGTAATCAGATCACTCACCAGCAAGGGTGCATCTGCCAGGGTGCCTGTCTCTGCGGATGGCACCAGAGGACATGGCACATGTCGTTGGAAAGCCTGCCTGTCCACCAGCTTGTCAAGCCTCAGCACCAGACACCCCCATTTCCTTAATAACTGGTTACAGATCCTGAATCTGTAAATTTAGCTAAACTCTTCTTGACCTTTCTATATTTTTAGTCTATGCTGCTTCTCTGGATAACAACATCCGTGGTTGATTACTTGTTCTATAAAATACCTTTATGTTAAGTTAAAAGAAATTCTCTGTCTCAAGCTTGAAAACCCTGTCCTATTAATTCTAATGTTCATCTCAAAATCCTGTTGGTCCCATGGTATATTTTGTTGGTTTGGGGGTAAGTTGGGGAGGGGAGGGAGGCACCCTGATCTCCTCAGCACTGAGGTTGTCAGCTCTCCAGTCTTTATATTTCCACTGTTCTCATAGACTAGCCCATCGGACTGTTGTTCATGTTGTATTTTAGGACTTTTCCCACTTCCGTTTTGGCCTGGGTTGAAATACAACAACTAAGAAAGTTTGTGACAGACACTCCAAGTCTATGTAAGACAATGCTGAAACCTTATGTTCCTGTTCTCTTTTGCGGTTTTGTTTTATTTGATTTTTTTTTTTAAGGAACAAAGATGTTTTTATTTGTCTTCTTCCTTGAGCGGGGCTTAGAAAAGGAATTAGCCCAACAGAAGAGCCTCCGTTGTTCCTTTAACTTTCGGGCAGACGTTTTCTGAGGCTATTAAGGGGAAGCCTTTCTTTTAGCCACAGTGGCAGTGGTAGCCAGCAATCTTGTAAGACTTTAGACTCAACTCCCATACTTGTTTTAGTTGGCTATCTTGACCTTAATCTCAGCCTTACTGTTTTATCCACAATGCTCCTGCTAATTTGCATAATGAAATGTCAAGTGTCGCTGTGTGATCTTTCTAGGACACTTGTAAAAAATGCTAAGATTGACCTCTCTTTTGAGTACCCTTAGCTTAACAATTCTGTCCCTGAAAGGAGGGATCACTATAGAGCATTTTAATTTTTCAAGGGGCTGCACAACTATTATCTCTGTTTCTTCCTTAGAAATCTGTTGGAGAAAGGAGAGATTTGATTTAAAAACTGAGAAAAACCAAAGCACAGAAAACTTTTAGCTATCTCACTTAAGAACATCCAGTGACCAGAAGATCTGGGATTAGAATTTGAGTTCCTTTACCCTTTTACCCTTACCTCTTTCTAAGGTACTATATTAATCCCCTTAACTTGTTTCTCAATCCTGCAGCTCCTTAATTTAAAAAAATGAAAAGGATTAATAAATGAAGGCAAGCCCTTGGTCAATAGCCTTAGCAAAGATGTTTTTAGAAAAGGCTAAATCTACTTACCTCTTCTCACCTACATCTCACTGGCCTCTCAAAAAAAAAAAAAAAAAACAACTGATTTAACAAAGCATGATTTCCCTGAACTAGTACTGTTATCACTACCTTTCCCTTCTCAATTTGTATTTGATAGTAGACAACTGATTTCTTTTCTAAGAGCTTGTTTAATGTAGAATGGTGACGATTAACTTTATCTCGTGTGTCCTTACCCAGAGATAAGTCACTTTAACAATTTTCCTTTTGTCTGAGAAATTGGCAGCATGTAGATGCCACGTAGGCCCTGATTGCCTGAGATGGCTGCAACCCTGGGCTCCCTGCTCTAGGGTGATGGGATTCTGGTCTCCTGGTACTTCGCTGAGGTTCTGTAAGAACAGCCTGGTCTTCTGACTTGGCGGAGGCTATGCTAGGAGACTCAAGGCTTCCAAACAACTTTTCAGTGTACACGTCCCTAAGCCTTTCTATTCATCTCTTTTCAGAGTCTAGAAGGAGGCTCGTACAGGGGGAGCTTGAAAGACCCCACAGGATGCCTGAATGAGGGGATGACCCCTCCCACGCCTCCTAGAAACCTAGAAGAAGAACAGAAAGCCAAGGCCCTGAGAGGCAGGATGTAAGTGACTTCTCCAGATTCCACCCTGATGTTTGTGTATGTACACATGATGGGCAAGGCTTATGGGAATTTGGGGAAGAATTAGAGAGGGAGTCCCCATTTTTTTCTGAAGAAAAATGCTTTATTATCAGTTCAATTTGTCAATCACTCATGCACTGCCTCCTGAGTGCACAAAATCTTTTGTGGACCTTTTGAGAATATTTTTTAATGTGTCATTACCTCCCCCAAGTATTTCATCAACTCTTCAAGGAAGGTCCACTAGCAGGTGGTGAACACAAGACAGCCCTCAGCCTGTCAGCAGATAGATTAGGATAACAATGTCACCTCAAGGAGAGCTAGACTTCATCTCCAGAGGGCCTTTCCAGCCCCACATTCCCACTCTAACTTTTCTGTGGGTTTTCTTGGGCCTTGCTAAAGATATATTTGAATGCTTTTATTTGGCCTCACCAGTTCCTTCCTGTGGCCTATAACACATGATTGTCTGTAGTAGAGAGGGGGTGCTGGGTGGAAGGACTGGGCATGCTGATAAAGAAGCATGTGTTCCTCGGCTTCTTCCCTCTCGCCTGAGGCCCAGGACTGGGCACTTGGTGGCTTTTCTGTGCCATGTAGAACAAGAATTTCAGATGAATAGTACTTCCTGGGTTCAGAACGGGTAAGCCCTTGTGCTGGGCCCCTCTGACGTCTCCAACACTCTCCCTTCAGTCTCTGAGGACCAAAATGAAGTGTGGCTGCAGGCAAAGCTCTTCCAAACTTAGGTATATGAGTCCATTGAGCCCCGCTGTGCCTCACCCACCCCTGTGCCCAGCCCTGAGCGTTTTATGGATAGCTCTTTACTGCTTAGAAGGAGGGAAAAGAAGAAAGAGGAGGGTTTGGATTTGAGGCCTCACAGACTCCAGAGAGCCAGCGTGAACAGTTTACCAGCAACGAGCAACAGTGAAAAGGGCAGCATCTTTGGGCTCTTATACAAGTGGGTTCAAATCCCAGCTCTGCTACTCAGTTTGTCATCTTGGGCGAGTCACCTAACCTTCCTGTCTCAGTATTTTCATCTATATTAAACAAGGCTTACAACACCTACCTTAATATTAGCAAGAGAAAGTCCAGATGAAGCAACTGACACAAAGTAAATATTCTAAGAGGGAAAAATCATTAACCAGAAAGAAACCAAAAAATCACATGATCTCGCTCCTAGTCCTCAGCTGGTAGAAGACTGGATGGGTGCTGCTTCAACGCTGTGGTTATGGAGTGTCTGCAGTCCATCATTCTGGCTTTGACTGAGGGTTTTGCAGGCTGCTTACTGTAGATATCTATCTGAATAATTGTAGCTTCTATATCTCAAAAACTTCTCTTGGTGTCAGTGCTTCTGAGGCCTCAAAGATTGGTTATCAGACAAATGTCTTTCTCCTGCTGTTAAGCAAAGAATGAAGCTAAAAAGAGGGGAGAAAATTTTCATGTCAATCCCTTGGCCTCAAAGTTTTCATCACTCATTTGCCAAGGTGGTCATTTTCCTTTGCACTGTGTGCCTGTGTGATTGTTAAGTTATAGACAAGGGAGGGAGAAGGAGGACGGGTGGAAGGAAGAATTCTGGGTTAGGAGCATCGCCCGTGGTCTGGCTGTTGTGGGCCAGCTGGGAAAGCCCTCTCCCAGCCTCTGTGCCCTCTGCTCGCCAGGAAGGGCCTTCTGTAGAGCAAGCAGCAAGCACCTCCCGCCAGGTGCTAAGAGTGGAATTCATGGTGGTCTCATCATAAAGTCACTAATGTGACTTTCCTGCAAACTTAAGTGGAAAGATCTCTTGCTTCACAAAGAAGAACTTTCATTGTTCTTAATCTCCTGCTCAGGTTTGTCCTGAATGAGCTGGTACAGACAGAGAAAGACTATGTCAAGGATCTGGGGATTGTGGTGGAGGTGAGTAGAGGGCTCGAGGGATCTGGGGTCACCTAGCCAGCGGCATATTAGACCCTACATGGTGAAGGTGTTTCAACTTGAGGGTTCCATGTATTTTTCTCTACCTGTGTATTTGCAGAAATGAAACTAAACTTGGTAATAGAGCAAATAAAAAATATATAAGTAATTTTATTTTTCCTTTTAAACTATTATCAGGATTTAGGAGGCAGGTCCTGCATATTGCAGCACTTCAGGGAGCCTCTTAGAGCTAAATTCATGTCACCTTGTTTTAGGTGACTAAGTCATTGTCCTAAGAGCTGTTTTTGGTGTTTAACCATGTGGACATTCATTCTTCAGAGCCATGTGCCACTGTGGGCCCTAAGCAGTTTACTCTTGATGAAACCTTGGGTTTTTTTTGTGTCCTTAGATTTTTATAGGGGTGTTACAGCTACCAGCAAGACAGACAAGGAAGAGCCCAACACCAATAAGGCAACAATGAGAAGTCCACAGTTGCAGTTAACTTGATAGTAAATAAAATCCCTCTCTATATAGGGATTTACGTTAGGGGGATTTAGATACTTGAATGAGAAAATCTAAGAAAGCAAATGGATAATTTAGATGTTAGAGCCTGTTGTTAATCATCTTAAACAAAAGAATATGAAGTCTGAAAATCGCAGGCCTCAAAAGTAAATCTTCTACTGGTTCTTTCCCTTGGGCCTGTAAGTCCCCCAACCTGTAAAATCTGACTTAACATTCTGTATTCGCTTGTCCTGAGCCTTGGACAAGCAGACTGACCTGGCAGATGGAGGACCTGCATGAGGACTTGTGGGAAGTTAGTCTCTCTTCCAAAGGGGGATGGGAGCAGTAGAGGGTACAGGAACTCCCATAAGCAGCCAGCTTAGGAATAAAGGGCCTAGGAGTAGGATACAAGAAACTGTTATCCAGGGAAGTCAGACATAAGTGATGTAAGATTTGGCTGAAGACAAATGCCATAACTCCCCAGAGCCCTGGTTTTCTCATGTGTCAAATGGGGATAAATACTGCCTCTGCAACCTCAAAACTTGATTTTTTAAAAGTTAAAATGAGATTATATTTGATAACATTTTACAGAACCTAAAGTCATAACATATTAAGAAGTATTTCTAGGCCAGATTTATCTAGTTCTAAGCCTTTGAGGACATAATTAACTGGGATTGGGAAGACAGGGGGACAGATGATTTTCTTCTTCTTTGTTCTTTATTTTTTAATTTTTATTGAAGTAACATTGCTACATATCATTATCCATCGGATGTACTCCATTATATTTCAATATCTGTATATACTACATTATGTCCTGCTTTCTTAAAGACAAAGAAAGGGACCCAGTACTTCATGAAAGTTGTGTCTCACTCTGCTCAATGGCTAAGTCTTCACTAACTGGTAAAAAAAAAAAAAAAGAAAGAAAGAAAGAAAAAACTCTAAGTGCACAGGAAAGCACTGCCCTCAAACCCATGCAGAGTGGGGGCTTCCCGGGGGCTGTGGTGTGGGATGAGCCTGCAAAGCTTCTATGAAGATGTTCTCCTAATTATCGCCTCTGCGCTACAGGGTTTCATGAAGAGAATAGAAGAAAAGGGTGTCCCTGAAGACATGCGAGGAAAAGATAAAATCGTGTTTGGAAATATTCACCAGATTTATGACTGGCATAAGGAGTAAGTGCTGCGTGCCCTGAGGGGTGAGCCTGTTGCAGGCTCTCCATCCTCCTCCTGCATCTGGCCTCAGGGGTAGAGTTTGCTGAGAATCTTCTGTCACTTATCACTGTGAAATAATACAGTTCTGAAAAATTGTGGCTTCCTTCTCTTATCCCTTTCCTCCTTTTAGCTTTTTCCTGACTGAACTGGAAAAATGTATCCAAGAACAAGACAGATTGGCACAGCTCTTTATTAAACATGTGAGTGTTTTCCTGGCACCGCCAGCCTGTCCCCTCCCGCCAGGCTCATTTACATTCACTTTAAAATTCCTTCCTTCTGCTTTGCCTTGACCTGCTCCCTTCTCACACTTCTGAGTTGTTATTGTTTTCAGTCTTTCCTGCAGTTTGAATGATGGACTCTTGTCTACTCTTCAGCTGCCTTGATGTGTCCCCAGAATGTAGACCGTGTCTGTGCTTCTCCCCACGTGTAGATCAAAAGCACTCAGAGCTCGAGGCCCCAGATGCCTGAGTGCCTTCCCTGTGCCTTTTCAGGAGCGGAAGCTGCACATCTACGTGTGGTACTGCCAGAACAAGCCGCGCTCAGAGTACATTGTGGCCGAATACGACGCCTACTTTGAAGTAAGCTGCTTTGGCTTTTGCTAAGCCAGTTGAGGGGAAGAAACTCTGGCCGAGACAGACATATTCAGAGACACAGCTGCCATCCTCACACAGCTCTGCTGGCCCTTCAGGGCAGGGATAGCTGACTCAACAGAGCCTTTAGCATCTTAGCTAAATTCTGAGGACCCCCTTTGCTTGAGGGGCACCAAGGTGGCAGGGTAGGCACTGCTTTTAGATGCCTCCCTTTGCAGAATGACTCTGTAGCTCAGAGACTGCCTCAGGTCTCCTTCAGGGCTCTGTCCTATCCTCCTTCCTTGACCCCAGAGCAGTCTATGTCCACACTCTTCCTCACAGGCCCCCTGGAGACAGCTTGCTGAGGATGTGTCTCCTTGTTAAGTAAGGTGGACACAGTCACCTCATAGTCTCTGCTCTGATTCCCAAAGGTTCTGTCAAGTAGTTCCAAGTGTTTGTTTTGCCCCAGGCTGGAAGTGTTGGCTTTCCTGGAGGAGAGGCAATGCCATCATTTGAGAAGTGCCCAAAATCGAGTATTTACAGATCTGAGTTGGACACCACCCCATAGGTTTGTGCCCGAGGAGAAGCCATTCATTCCTGGCTTGGTTCTGGAACCATAGAGAGAACAGACTACGCACTCCACCTTGCTCCCAGGACTGGGGAGAGGACCCAGACTCTGAGAGCACATGGCATGCAGGCTAGTGATGGCGAAGTGTGTTCATGTGATTAATGACCAATCAGCAGTTGGACAGCCAAGTCTACCTCTTGCACAATTTGACGATTCCAGACTTTTATTGACAAACACAAAAACCTGTGCTTCCTGCCTGGAACTGTGATGCAGAGCACCCCAATTCTTTGGTTCCTTTTTTTTTTAAACATAACCTTCCTTATGTTCCAGGAGGTGAAACAAGAGATAAATCAAAGACTGACTCTTAGCGACTTCCTTATCAAGCCCATCCAGAGAATAACAAAGTATCAGTTGCTCCTCAAGGTAAGTGAGAGATGAGCTTGGAGGGGTGTCTGCTTTGGGCCTGTGTTAGGATACAGGTCAGTTTGAGGCTCCATCTCTACCACACTTCTCCCATGAGCTAATGAGGACAAGTGGGATTTTATCTTGTCTGTCGGTTACTTGATCAGCTTTGTCTCCAAATAAATTATAAAACTGTTGTTTCTGCATTTGAGGTTGATTGATTGTCTTTTTTTCAATTTGCTTTCTTTCTTGCAACAATCACTGGCTTGGTACCTTTTAGAAAATATAAAGCCTAAAAATTAAGGTGGAGTACAAGGGAAAAAAGGAAAGGAAAAACTCTAAAAACATTAGATAAATAATACCTAAAATTTGATCATATTTTGCTTTTTTAAAATAGTTTAATTTGGTCTCAGAAATATAATTTAAATGAGAGAGATTTAACGTTCTGTTCTCCTACCCTTTCTTGTCATAATCCCCTCTCTCCCTGCTCACACACTTTTTTTGTCCCCTTTTTTCCTCCCTCTCTCCCTTTTCTCATAGCTTTGTATCTTTGAAGACTTGGGGTGCTTTCTCTGTGTTATCATATCCAATATGACTTGTAATTTAATATCTCAGCTACAACAAACCATGGCCATCTCTGGTGGGAGGGAAAGTCTTCTGGTGTTACTGTGGTTTCATGATGCTAAGTTTTCATAGCACTGTTTCCTAACTGATTTCACCCTTCCCACACCCTTCCTCGCTTCCCCCACTTGCTAGGACTTCCTGAGATACAGCGAGAAGGCGGGTTTGGAATGTTCAGATATCGAGGTGAGTATTTTACTTGTAATGCTGGCTGTTCTTGGGGACAATATTGGATGTCTATCTCTAAAGGGGAGAGCTGTCACTGGGCAGCCAAGGGTCCAGGCTGACCGATGTTAGTAACAGCCCCTTGAGAACAACTGCTCAGCAGGATGATGAATGGCAGGTGTTAATAAATGCACTAAGAGTTTTTTCTAGAACTCAAGATTTCTGTTCAGGACAAACCAGCACTTATGCCAACTAGTCTCCTTGTGGTTCCCAGTGACATGTGGTAGGAAGGGTTGTATTTGAGGCCTCTAACATCCCTCAGAGATTGGGTGCTTCACTGTGTAGTTTTACCCATGAATCCAGAAACTATTTGAGCTTAACATATAAAATACTCCATTTTCATTCCCTCCCCTGCCCCTGAGGATTACTCCCCAAGTGAAGTCCTATGAGACAAAGTCACCATGGGGATTATTTTAAACCAGAGAGGTTACAAACCATTCTGGAGGGTTATTTTAGGTTAAATCCTCTAGTGTTTCACAAGCCAGGCTAAGCTGTTGCTTGGAGAGCCAGGAAGCAACAAAGAGAAGATAGAAAATACAAGAAGGAAAGGGAATTGATAAAAGTAGGAAGGTAGGAAAAGAATGGGCTGGGTAGTATTCTCCCCACATGCAATCACTGAGTCACATGGAGCCCCGTAATGACCAACACCCTCCACCTAGAACAGACAATCCCACACGCCTCTGAAAGTGAGCAGCACAGGCCAGCAGCCTTTCCTGGAATCAAGGAGCTACCAGGAGGCCCCGGATGCCAGCATAGAACGCCCTGAACTTCCTGCCTGAGCGCTGTTCCTTACCCTGAGCCTATATTGATTGTTTTTCCCACAGAAAGCAGTGGAGTTAATGTGCCTTGTTCCAAAACGCTGCAATGACATGATGAATCTAGGACGCCTGCAGGGCTTTGAGGTGAGCTGTTAATACTGCTTCTCAGCCCTCTCTTCTGGGCAGCACGACCCCAGGCTGGGAGGTTGCTTCCCTTTGAAGCCCTGTGGCCCACCTCCTCCTCTGACTTCTCTCACCATCCACACCATTGTGCCTCTGGTTCCCAGGTCTAGAAGATGCATCTGTTTGGGAAGTCTAGTAATTGGGCAGTCATAGAGGCTCCAGAGCGGTCAGCTGAGCTGGAGTCAGGATTCCCAAGGGATTAGAAAGACCAAAAAATCCTCATCACTGTGGACCTGGCAAGGACCTCTCTTCCCTTTTCTTTCTTGCCTGAGAAATGCTGGGAATGTAGTGGAAAACAGAAGTGTATGGTGAAAGTAGAACTGGAGGGGAAAGGGAACACTTTTCTTTTGGAGAGGGTGGTCCTAATAAGCAGGTCTCTATAGCGGTTGACTTTTAAATTATTTTTTTAATTTATTTTATTTTTATGCATACAAGAACTGGGGTACAGGCCAGAGGTGCGGGGTCGTGGGGGAGGGTGAGAGGATTCACCAGAGACAGAGTGGGGAGCAGAACAGGCAGATCTACTGAAATACACTGCTGAGGGGAGCAGTGGGTGAGACAGGAGAGGTCTGCTGCGCCATGTGGGTAGCTCCCTGGCCGGGGATCTAACTCGTGCTGCAGTGACTGCCGTTAGCTTCATAGGTTGTGTCTTAACCCCTTGCGCCACCAGGGAGGCCCTTGACTTTTAAATTAAATGAACATTTTTAGCTCTAAAACATCAGAGTGGACATTTCTAAAGAGAAGAATCAAGTCCTTCTTTGTCTTTGTCTGCTCTGACTCTTTGGACTACAAAGTTTTCTGAAAGACAGTCAAAAGACCAGCATTTTCCTTTGGTCATTTGAAATCAGTTGCTGTCATTTTAAAAATTTTAGAAAACATATTAATTACATGTTTTTAACCACATTTTTGCCCACCACCACCCTTTTTATCCCCTTGTCCCTCTCCTCCCCTCCCTCTTAACCCTCAGGATGTTAATTGATATCCACTGGTTTTTGAAAGTATTTTCTATTATCAAATTGTCTGTTACATAAATGTCCAGTATTTGTTTTTATCATTTTGACTTACTTTGCTGCATAATTCTCTCATTTCCTCCATTTGGCTCAAAATGGCTGCATTTCATCCTTTATTGTGGTTACATAATACTCCATGGTGTGGCTATACCACATCTTCTTGACCCAGTTGTCCATGGGTGTCCTAGCTAATGTAAATCAGGCTGCTGCAAACATTGTGGAACATAAGTGGTTTTGTGTTGGTGGTTTTGCATTCGTTGGATATATTCCCAAGAGTGGGATTGCTGATTCCTAGAGTATTTCCAATTGAGTTTTTTAACATAAATCCAAATTGCTCTCCTTAATAGTTACAACAGTTTACATTCCCACCAACAGTTTAATAGGTTCCTTTGTCCCCCACATCCCCTCCAGGATCTTTTTGATATGTGTCATTCTCACAGCTGTGAGAATGTATCTCATTGTGTTTTTAATCTGCACCTCTCTTAGAATCCATGATGATCATTTATTTGGCCTTCTGTACATCCTCTGTAAATTATTCACATCTCCTGCCCATTAATTGGGTTATTTATGACTTTTTTTTAAAGATTCATTTATTTATACATACAAGATCCAAGGTACAGGCCAGAGTTTTGGGGGGTGAGAGGATTCACCAGAAATGGAGTGGGGAACAGAACAGGCAGACCGATTGAAATACACTGTTGAGGGGAACAGCAGGCAAGTCAGGAGAGGTCTGCTGCACCATGTGGGTCACCTCCCTGGCCGGGGATTGAACTTGTGCTGTAGTGGCTGCGTTGAGCTTCATAAGTTGAGTCTTAACCCCTTGTACCACCAGAGAGGCCCCTGTTTATGACTTTTTAATGGCAGAATTGTATGATCTTTTATACATAGCTTGGATATAAATCCCTTATCAGTTATATATTGCATAAATACAAGAATCAAGTCCTAGGAGAAACTCTCGGACGTCCTCAGGATTTTTATTTTATTTATTTTTTTTTTTTTTAGTGAATGCAGTAGTTTATTAGGGATGACAGAACAAAGTTCCATAGCCTGGAGGACTTAAACAACAGGAATTTGTCATCTCACATTTCTAGAAGACCAGGAAAAAGTATAGGCAGGGGTGGTTTCTTCTGAGGGCCACAAAGAAAGCATCCATGCAGGCCTCTTTATGAGGCTTGTCCATGGCTGTCCTCATGTTCACATAGTGTTCTTCCTCTAGCTTCAGCCTCTTCCCTATGAACTTAACTGTGTTCAAATTTCCCCTTTTTAAAAAGAAAGGACAGGGCCTCCCCGGTGGCACAGTGGTTGAGTGCTGGGTTGCAAAGCTGCCCGCAGCCTCTGCAGCGGTGGTTCGATCCCTGGCTGCTCCCCGGCCACCGGAGGAGGGTCCCGCATGGCGCGCAGACCTCTCCTGCTGCCCGCTGCTCCCCTCAGCAGTGTACTTCGGTCCTTCTGCCTGCTCTGCTCCCTGCTCTGGCTCTGGTGAATTCTCTCACCCTCCCATGCTTCTGACTGTACCCAGTGCTTGTATAAAATAAATAAAAATAAATCTTTAAAAAAAAAAAAAGAAAAAAAGAAAGGACACCAGTCACATTTGATTAGCGCTTACCCTAATGACATCACTTTAACTTGATTCCTTGTGTAAACACCCATCTCCCGGTAAAGTTACATGTAGAGGTACTGGGGGTTAGGACTCCACTTATGAATTAAAGGATGGCAAATATTCAAGTCCCAGCAATGAATCTTTATTTTTTTTTTTAAAATACACTTAAACATTTATTAAAATATAGGAATTATCTAGAATATAAACTAAAGCATAGTATTATCTCCTATGGGTGTCCTTATAAGAAAGGAAGTCCATCTAGCTGATGATAGATTCATATATATTGCACATTTATTTTATTCTAAATGCATGTCAGTGCTATACTAGTTTCATAAAATCAGCTGGAAAGTGTTCACTTTCCCTTAAAATGATATGATATGATATGACAATTTGTGTCATATCATAACTTATTCTTTTTTTTTTATAATTTTTTTTTGTACAGGACATTTTTTCCATTTATTTATCTCTTGTTCAATATCTTTCAACAATTTTTTTTTACATTTTATTTTTTTATTTTATTTTTTTAAATAATAAATTTTATTTTTATATTCCCCATACAATTGCAACCCCCCCCATTCTGACCCCAATCTCTCCCCTCCCGCCCCCCCCACCCCCAAAAAGTGTCTCTGGTTCATAGTTTTTTGTTGATTTTGATTTTCACTTTCTTATAGTTATTCATTTTCCTGGTCCCTTATTTTAGTTTTCTAGATTCCTGCTATGAGTGAGACCATCAGGTATTTTTCTTTTTCTTTTTGGCTTATTTCACTGAGCATGATCCCTTCCAGCGCCATCCATGTTGCTGCAAATTGCATGTGTTTATCTTTTTTGAATGCTGAGTAATATTCCATGGTATATATGTACCACATCTTCTTGATCCAGTCATCTATTTTTGGGCATTTGGGCTGTTTCCAAAGCTTAGCTATTGTGAATAGTCTAGCAATGAATCTTTAAAGAGCAATTTAACTTTCCTGATTTAAGTTTAATGAATGACTGTTATTAGTTTACATCCTTATACATTAACCAAGATTTTGAGTATTAATATAAATTTGGATCTGACAATGTTATTGACAGGCACTTAGTAGTTGTTGAGACCCTAAGAGAAAGAGGTAGATCTTTTAATCCTGATTCTTGGTAACCCTGCAACCTGAGATTCATTATTCCGTTTTGGGGAAAAGGGATTCCTAGAAGTTGAGACAATTAAGAAGTATTTTTTTCTGGCCAGGTTAGTATAGATAGAATACTTTTGAGGCAGACTACTGTATAACTAGATTTAGGGGAGGCTGTGTTCAGGTTTGGGTTAATGAGTTAGATTACTGAGTTTTCTGAGTCAAGCTTTCTTATCCTCCTTGTCCTTCCAGTCCCTCTTGGTATGCTTGTTTGATTTCCATTATTTTTTTGTGATCAGGAACTGTTCATTTTCTTTCTTTTTTTTTTTTAACATTTATTTATTTATTTATACAAGCACTGGGTACAGTCAGAAGTGCAGGAGGGTGAGAGAATTCACCAGTCAGAGCGGAGAACAGAGCAGAACAGGCAGACCGATGAAGTACACTGCTGAGGGGAGTAGCAGGCGCAGCAGGAGAGGTCTGCGTACCATGTGGGACCCTCACCTGGGGGCCAGGGATCGAACCGGCACTGCAGAGGCTGCGGGCAGCTTCACAACCCAGTGCTCAATCGCTGCACCACCGGGGAGGCCCCTTGCTGTTCATTTTCATAGGTTCCCTGTTCTCCATGGTACCCCCGAAGTACTAAAGTAAACAGGGTTACACTGCAGCAATATACCAAGTCCTTATGGTGTTTCTTCAGTCATAATGGATGAAGTTTTACACGTCTCTTGGAGCTATGCCAGGTCTGAGGCTATTCTGAATACACCAGATAGTAATTACTTCTGCTCTTAACCACAATGCCCCCAAGTTTTCTGAGCAGAAGGCTGGCTTGACTTCCTCTGGGTGTCTGGAGAGACTGACTGCAGACAGGAGGCTCAGCATCCCGTGTGCTGTCTGGCACCAGGCAGATTACACAGGGCTGTGTTGTACGAGTGCATGTGTGTCCACAGGCCACACAAAGGAATACACGACTATTTTCTCTTTAAATCAAGTACCACAGCTCCTTTTTGCATCCAGTCCCAGAGAATCTGCTTTGCATTTCTTCAGCTAATTAGGAAGGACAGCAAACGTGCTTCTGAAGTCCATGACTTTGGACTAGGGAGAAGTAAGCCCCCTCACTTAGACTCCCTCTCTTTTAAATCTTCTGGCTTTCCCTTTAGTGTTGGCAGAGGGTCAGGCTCTTATGTAATATTAATAGAGTTTTAGAACTTTTCTGGCTAGCTGGTCAATGACTTAATATTAACTTGGGACTGGGATAGAGATAAGCCTGTTTGGCTGCTGACCTTAACAATAAGGAGTCACGATCCAAAGAGAAAGCAGAGTTCTCTTAAGAACATGAAAGAGAAATAATCTGTGTGGTGGGTAATGTTTGGAATAAGGCATCCTATGCAGAGAATGGCTCACATTTGCCCTCACAGGCAGAAGGTGCCATCTAAGAAAATACAGGTAGAGGAGTTCTTCTGGACACTGACTCAGATGTCCGGGTTTTCTTGTTTGGAAACAGTAGGAAAAACAGAATCTCCAATAGCGTCTGTCAAGACCTGTTGGGCTGAGCCATCTTCCCTTTGAAGATATCTCTGAAAATCTGGTTAGAAACTGACAAACCAAGTAGGCACCACTTCTTGGACTGATTTTCAAGTGGCCTGGTAACTAGAGTTAATTTAAGATGGATCACACTACCCAGAAAATGTCTACCACTTTATAAAATATAGGCACCGGGCCTCCCTGGTGGTGCAGCGGTTGAGCATTGGGTTGCGAAGCTGCCCGCAGCCTCTGCAGCACCCATTCAATCCCTGACTGCTGGGCGAGGGGCCCACATGGCGCGCAGACCTCTCCTGCAGCCCGCTGCTCCCCTCAGCAGTGTATTTCAGTCAGTCTGCCTGTTCTGCTCCCCACTCTGGCTCTGGTGAATTCTCTCACCCTCCCGCGCTTCTGACTGTACCCAGTATTTTAAAATAAATCTTTTAAAAAATAAATAAATAAAATAAAATACAGGCACCTTTCTATGATCCCCCCAGCACTATCGGAGATGGGCACAAACTGAAACAATAGAAGGAAAAGACAGGCCCCGCTCATCAGACTGTGTGGCCCTGACTACACCACTTCCCTTGGCCATAGGTTGATTCTAGGTTGTTGGCCACAAGAGTACTGGGTCCTTGACCCATGCTGCAGGGGAGCATGGGTCAAGCACATTTCTCAGAGCTCTGAAGACAGAACGGCCACTTCTTGCTCCACATGTCACCTATTTCCTTTCTCCTTCTAATAGAAGACAAGAAGCACCAGCCTAATTCCTGAACATCTTTTTAGTTAATAATTTCACCTCCTTTCCTTCAGGCATTTTCCTGAAGCTGTTTCTTAGTGGTTCCTTGGCCTGCTTTCCCTTTCATTCCAAAGCCCTTGTATGAACAGGAAAGTACCATAGTCTGCCCTAGCTGAATGGAGGGGGACAGGGGAAAGGATTTCAATTCAGGCTCTTACAATAGCCCAGAGGCTTTTTTTTTGCATATAAGGGCTATTGTCCTTGTCCCCAGGGAGGCAGGTTCCTTGGACCCCACAGACAGTGGCCTTCTCCCTGCTTGTCATTGACTTCACCCAGCCCTTCTTTTCATCAGGGCACCCTGACAGCTCAGGGGAAGCTGCTGCAGCAGGACACGTTCTATGTGATTGAGCTGGATGCAGGCATGCAGTCCCGGACCAAGGAGAGACGCGTGTTCCTCTTTGAGCAAATTGTCATCTTCAGTGAACTGCTCAGGAAGGGATCCCTCACCCCAGGCTACATGTTCAAGAAGAGCATCAAGGTGAGGGAGCTGGGGAATGAGAAGGGGCAGGAGTTGAACTTGGGGCAGCTGCTTTCCTAACACAGCTGCACTAGAATGAGTGAGGATCCAGAACCTGGAAGCTTTTTCAGCATAACAGCCTCTTGGTATGGAGGGTAAATATCCAAGAAAAAGTACCAGACTGGGTGCCAGTTGCTAGTATGATGTCATTCACTCGAAAACAGAAACCCAGGTATGTAGCTATTAGATCCAGACAGATCCTAAAATAAAAACATTGAGTAACTATAAAATGTTGCTCTTTTAAAACAACATAAATATGAAAAGCATTAATTTGACTTCTTCCAGATGAATTACTTGGTCCTGGAGGAGAACGTGGACAACGACCCCTGCAAGTTTGCACTTATGAACAGGGAGACTTCTGAGCGAGTCATCCTGCAAGCTGCCAACGCCGACATCCAGCAGGCCTGGGTGCAGGACATCAACCAAGTCTTAGAAACACAGCGGGACTTCTTAAATGGTGGGTACTGGGCTGTTATCAGGGTAGCCCACACTCTGAGCTACCTTGATGTAGGCTTATGGTGAGTTATGAGCCCAGATCACATTTTATATGGACTCCAACTTGTAGTTTTTCAGAAACACTCTGTTTAGGATCTTCCTGAACCTGAATATGCAAGTGGAGCCAGTGGAACATTGTAATAGAGCCCAGCTTTCCAAAAGAAAAGATCCTTTCTTCTAGCCTAGACATAGGGCCTATGCCTGCAGCCACTACCACCAACTGAAGCAAAAGTTTTATATGGGCACATTGCTTTTTCTTAGGCGCCAGGTATCAGTGACATGTTTGCCCATTTCATGGCTAATGGCTGCTACTCTCAAGGTTGTCTCGTGGTTTCTAGAGATAACTAGATGTTTAGCAGATTAATTCAAATCTACCCTTTGCTCTCAAAAGTGTGAGAGCCTAGAAAGTCACCTTGCTAGTCAAGTTTACCCATTTCAAATGAGCAGCAGTTGTTAACTCTCAGTTTCAGCATTACCTTGAAACCTACCAGAACCATCTGATGATGATGCAGAGTGTAGCTTTTTGTGGATGCTGAAAGTAGTATCTAGTTTATGTTTCTTTATATTTTCTCCCTGATGCAATTTCTTCACATTTGGTTTGGCATGAGGGGTGGTATACAGTTTAAAACTAGTGTTAATCTGCTGAGTTGATATACTCAGAAGTCTCTCTCAGCAAAAATGAAGCTTGAAGTTGAAGGCAAAACTTCATCAATAACATAGTAAACCATAACCTGAAGACTCGGCAAGCACATGCGCCTTGTGTACATATATGTGTACACATACACACACACATACAGGAGACCACCCTTAGAAGTATCCTCTCTTCTTCCCAGTGCAGTATAGGGATCTATATGTGTACACTTAAATACACACACAGGACAACCTCAGGCTCACCACCCTTCTGGCCTGTCCTGAGATCTGTGCTCAGGGTCAGAAGTATCCACGCATGTACATACACACACACACACACACACACACACACACACGGTATCACCTCTTCTTGCCAATACTGGAATCTGAACTATCAAATGGTACCAATGCCTACCATGAACCTGTAGCAGGAAGTGTTCAAAAATGACATAATAGTTGAGGACCTTGGGCAAGTCAGGACATTTCTGGGGGGCTCCATTGGCTTATCTTTTGAAGAGACATGTGCCACGCTGTGCCAGCAGTGCTGGAAGCAAAAAAATATGACATCCCTCCCTACATGGCCAAATTTATTCCATAATAAGGGGTTTAACACATTGTATTTCTCTTAAAGCAAACAAAAAGAAATAATAGAGCAGGGGAGCAGGATGCCTTGACTTTTTAAGATAGAATATGGAACTTCAAAGCAACTCCACATTTACAAAGATTATTTTGGGGTCTTGCCACTTGGTCCCCCACTATAGACCAGTTTGGTTAAAAATAAAATACCAAATACCAGACTAGTTGATCTCTAGGATTCTTTCTCATTGTAAAAAGTATTAAAATTCTAAAATTAAATTCCAGCCCAAACCTGAGGGTTAGTAATAAATGTGGCATATAGTTCAAATTAGCACCTTTAAATTTTGTATAAAACATATGTGAGTATATTCATTAGTATATATAGTATATTCATTAGTGTATATAGTGTATTTATTAAGTTGCATTCTATTAGGAATTTCTGATAATTCTAAGCCAGAAGAGGGTCTTAAAGCTCATCAATTCAGGACAAAAGGAAAAATAAGTAGGTTAAGAAACTTGCACAAGGTCACAAAATCAGTAGGTGATAGAACACAAACTTGAACCTAGCACTGTATAACTTAAAAATAGACTCTTAGCCACAAAACTGTAGTACAGTTGTGGATGGTGGGACACACCTTTATCTGTGAGCTCCCTAGCAAATAAAGCAAAGAAAGAAACAGGATAGGCATAAGAACTATGCATTCCACTTGCCAGAAACAAAGCCTGTCAAAAGGTTACAACTTTCCTGATCCAAAGACCTGGTTAAGCAGGTAAAGGCTGGTAGAAGAACACATGCTCCCTATGTGCCTTATTTTCAGACACTTTAGCACAATTATTACACATAATCAGATCATATCCCAATCCCATGTGGTGGGTATTGACTTAAAGTCAGTCTGATAAGGCCTGCTCACCACTCTGCTGTCTACTTAAAATTTGGCGCTGCCTTTCTTTGGGCATACCCAATGAATTAGGCCTTTATATGGTTCCGAGACCGCCTCCTAATTATAGTGAATTATGGGACTATAACTGAGCTAAATTATTAGCTCCTAAATATTTAATGCCTACAAAACATTCTCAGGGAGAAAGACTGAGCTCTGGCAAGGGCCTGTTCTATTCTTTGACATACTCAAGAGACAGACAAGGGTGTAACTATGGAGCGGGGCCAGCCTTTTCCTTACAGAGACAAGTGCAGGCATCTCATAGCCCGTCCCCACCTCCCTCAGAGCCATCTCTCAAATAGAAAGGGGGTGATGTGATCTGATGTTGGGTCCTATTGAAGTATTATCACTATAGAAATATCCTTATATTTGAAAGTTCTCTGTACCCCGGCTGTTAACCCACCTGAATATGTGTTACCATGAATACTGATAAAAATAACAGAATCAGGCCAGCCCTTGAAGTCATTATTATAGAATTTGGTATATGTGGCCTTTGCCTGCCCATTCCTCTTGAGTGCTCAGACCATCGAACTGTTATCTAAAATTCAGTAAAACAAAGCTTATGTCTTTCCCTTCAAATTTGCTTTTTCTCCATCTCCTGAGTTCCACTGACCAACAGCCTCCTGCTCCCCAGACCTGGTGGTCCTCAGCTCTTGCTGTGTTTTCACATCTAGGCTCTAGTCTCCCGCCAGAGCACTTGGCATCCCACAGGCCTCCCACCTTCCCATCAGCTCTGCTCTGCTCAGGCCTCTTCGCTTGTCACTATCTCATGGCTTCTGACTCATCCCTCCGCACCTTCCTCCCAACTGTGGAATCCTCAACTGTGGTTCTGGTGACAGAATCTGAATTTAAAATGCCCAGGTTCATTTAATCCACTAACTTTTCATGACCATCACAATTAATTCCAGGCTCATGAACCTGGCTCTCTTGATCTCTCACACCACAGCACCTCCAGCCTCCCTACCTGTCTCCTTCCTCCAGGGAGACCCAAGGCCCTCTGCTCCAGGTTATCTGTCTCCATCCTGTTCCACACACACTTCACACTTGCTTCCTTCTTGCCAAGTCTGAACATCAGGGTCTGATGGCCGGTGGTCTCCTGAGACCCTTTATTACCAGCCACCATCTACACAAATAGGCAGCATGGCCCCTCCCTCCTTTTGCCCACTTCACACCTCACATACAGCACTATATTGGTTTTATAGTTTCATTATTTAGGTACTTTTCTTAGTTCTCACAGTAGATTATAAGTTCCTTAAAAATAAGTGTGGTATCTTTCTCACATCCCCTCATCATGTCTGGCATATAGCCTGTACCTAGTAATCCTTCCACTTCTGAAGCTTAGAGTGACCCTCTGTTTTCATCCTGCAGCACTACAGTCGCCCATCGAGTACCAGCGGAAAGAAAGGAGCACTGCTGTGATAAGGTCGCAGCCTGCTAGGGTTCCCCAAGCCAGCCCCAGGCCTTACTCCTCTGTCCCCGTGGGCTCTGAGAAGCCCCCAAAGGGCTCCAACTATAACCCGCCTCTGCCACCTCTGAAGATATCTACCTCCAACGGCAGTCCAGGGTTTGACTACCACCAGCCTGGGGACAAGTTTGAGGCCAGCAAGGTATGTGACAGCAGTTATGAAGACCCTCCCCATTCTGAGGGCTCACTTTACAAAGTAGCAACTTTTTATGTGGATCCTTTTAGCAGGAACAGCCCACTGAGTACAGCCTAGTCTCAATTATTTCTTTTTTTCCCCTGCCAATTAAGTGAGTTAGAGAAATTACTGCAGCTCAGACACTGTTAAAATGAATCTTGTCGTCTGTAGAAACTATACCAATGAAAGAGATAATTATGATGCACACCAAGTAGAGTGACTGCGGTGTAGACCATCCAAAAGTCACAGCTCCGGTGTTTGACATCCCAAAGAGCCTGCCCTTTCTGATGCTGAGCTGCCGAAGTCAACTCATGGTTCTTCACTCTTCATCTGATGTAGCGAGAAGTTGTTCATCTAGGTGTGAATAGAGAAGCCAACGTTGCCTCAAACATTTCTCACAAATAATCCACAATTCAAGCATCACCATGAGCTTAGTCCCAGATGTCATCATAGACCCAGCCCACACAGGCATTTTGATACAACATGGTAGTAGGAAAAATGGCCAGGTCATCTGCTTTCCATTCTAAATTCATCAACTTGCTTGCTCTAGAACCTCAGCAAGTTCCCTAATCTTGTTAGCCTAGAATTCAGTGGGTCAGTGACTAGGAACATATATATTTTGACCTGCATGTTCCAATTTTATATTTTTTTACCCAAATGATTAGATGATACTGATTTTTTAAATGGTCTTTTAACATGTAGGTTAAATTCAGTATTAGAGTATCTGTACTCATTTATTTTATCACATCACCTAGAACTTGCGCACTAGTGAATAACTTGAAGTCACGTTGGCACTGGCATTTTGTCAAACTTATTAAAGAGTTTCTGGTTCTCACTGTGCTGTGTGAGGCAGCCAGGCCTCCCTGGGAGCTACAGTTTTGTCTAGAAGCAGTTTCCCTGATGCAGTCCTGTGAAAAGGCCCCAGAAACTATTCCTCTCATGTTAATGAGTAGGAGGAACTAGAGGGGTTCTGTTCCCACAGGAGCTAGGTGAGGGTTGGTCATGCTCTTGCCTACGAATTGGGCAAATGTCTCATTGTTACTCCTGTCTCAGTGAAGGCCAGAATGTAGCGTAACACCAACGCTTTTTCAAAAGAAAGGAAAAAAATTTTCTTTCTATTGAGGGCTTGTCACCTCCGGATTGACTTTTGCCCTAACCTCACTATGTCCAGGTGCTTATATGCTCAGTATTTCCATTGGTCAGAGACTACTGGTGGGAAGGTTGCCCTCTAGGAAAGGACTTCAGGTCTGTCAATACTTTTACCTAGGCCAGGCAGTCCCTCTACCTGTTCACCCTTGATTATAACATTGAATGAGACATTGCTATAAAAAAACACAATGGATATCATTCCATTGCTCCAGATAGTCTGCTGTTTACCCTGTGAGTGGGTGGTGAGGCTTTTAACCAGGCCGTAGAGTGCGGAACAAGACGTGTGACCCAGCCTTCTCCTGTCTGTCCCTTCTCACCCTTGTCTCCTAGCAGAGCGACCTGGGAGGCTGCAATGGAACCTCATCCATGGCCGTGATCAAAGATTACTATGCACTAAAGGAGAATGAAATCTGTGTGAGCCAAGGTGAGGTGGTCCAGGTCCTCGCCGTCAACCAGCAGAACATGTGCCTGGTGTACCAGCCTGCCAGTGACCATTCCCCCGCGGCCGAAGGCTGGGTCCCTGGCAGCATCCTGGCACCCCTCACCAAAGCCACGGCAGCAGCAGAAACTAGTGACAGCAGCCTCAAGTAAGTGCCTCGTTGGCTTCCCTGGGAGAGGAGTATGTGGATTAAAAAATTTCAAAAACAAACAAAGAACAAAAAAATGCAAACACATGCTAGGGAATTACTGCTGCTTGTTCTCGACAGTGCCACTGGAACCGAGGTCTGAGTGCCGGAACCAGCAGCAGGGCATCCAGGCTGGATTGTTCCGGTTTTTGGTTTTATTGGTTTTTTTGGGATTTTCGTTTTTTGTTTTTGTGGTGGTGATTTTTCTTTCCCTTTTGTTTATAATTTTCTGTTAATTTTTTCCTCTTTCCCCACCCCCACTAAGAACCCTACTGAAGCCCTAGGTGACAAAAGGCATGCCTTCCGTTGCTCCATTTGACCCACCACAGGATTCACTGGACTGGACTTCTATTTATATTGTATTGAGTTACTGATATATATATATATTTTTTTTGATTGACACCAAAAAATTACCTTGGCACAAATGCCAGACCTGTACAGGTCAGAGGCCCGCTGCTTCTCCCAGGAGAGAGGGAACTTTTTGGTTGTCTATGGCAATTCCTCTGTACAGATTGTAACTTTTTTTTTTAATTTTCCCCTTCCCCTGTCACTTTAATATATGTTCATGGTAATTTGTAAGATATTTCTTTTCCTTATTTTGGTTGTGAAGACCCTTCCGAACACATTCCTGTATAAAGTATTTTGCACTATTTAAAGAAACCCATATGGATGAAGTCAGGTTGTGCAATATAATGGAGAGTCACAATGTTCATCATTGTACCTGTAATGTAACTAATTTTAAATGTACTATTTTAAATATGTAAAATAAATTTTCACCATGAGCATGTTTTAATGAGGTTAAAGACTAGTTGACCCTTTTTCCCCCTTTTCACTATTCTAGGACTTTTAATATGCAAACAATTCTCCCTTTTATTTTTTTCTTTTCTGTGTTTTAGGAGTTGGTTGAGTGCATTGGCAGTTTTTTCCTACCTGAAAAGTGCCTTTGTCACTAGAGCTGCAAAGCTAACCTTCCTTTCTAAACAGCCCGAGTGGTTTTCTCTAAACTCTGACACAAGGAATGGTGCACACTGGATGCCACCAAGTGGGCCATCTTGAGAGTGGATGTAAATTAATGGCTAGAGTAGGCGCCAGTGTTGGCTTGCATCCCCCACACCCCCCTCTGCTCTCCACTTGTGGTCACCCGTGGCCGGGAGTGAAAGGAGTTCCATGAGACCTCTGAGCAGGAGCACTAATAGCACTGTCTTCTTTGGCCTGTCACTAGGTCGGGGGATAGAAGCTGCTGACATCACCCTGGCCTTTCAAGGTAACTGCAGGCCCAACTGGAAATTAGTAGTGGCCCCTAAGGTGCAATATACTCAATTCCTTTATTCCAAAGACACTTGTTTTCAGAAGCCTTGGGAACAAAGATCCTCAAAGCATTAAATTTCTTATTAACCAACGGCCTTGCAGACATAACTGTTCATGATCTCTGAGCTAACTATCCAGGCACTCAACACTCCTCCCTCCTCACCTTTGGGTGTTTTGGTTACGTGTTCGCACCTTCCGTGGGAGACAAAGTAAGAGGGGTGTCAGGTTGTAAGAAAGAACAGACTCAAATGCAATTTGGTCACTTGGGTGCCTTGTCAGCCACTCTTGGACAAGTGTTGGTGGAGGTGGGCCAGAGCACCTGGCTAAGCGGGTCATCAGCATCTATCAGTGAGGGACAATCGCAGCACCCTCCCCAGGTCCTGCTGTGACCATGGGCCAGAATGGCCCTGCCTACAGGATCACTGTCACGGAAAGCTTGTTTCCATGTCCTTCCCTGGACTGTGGCCAAGACATGGAAGCTCCCCCAAACCATGATGACAAGTTCTGGGAAGAAGAATATAAAACTGAAACTGTCCTGCCACTTAACTTTGAGACTTCCTTCTGAAAATTATTTGTGACATTTCCAGTTTCTCACCAAGCATACTGACTGACCCAGGGGGTTGTGATAAACACAGACACGCACCCCCACTCTCACACACACATACTGTGCTATCCGCCCTGGGAGTATTTTTGGTAGGGACCTCCCTAACTCAAGATATTCTCAGAAGGAGCCAGGGACATGGACTTGGAGATAAATATATGACATTAAAGTCCGATGTTAATAGAGTGATATCATCTAAAATTAGCTTTCATGACTGGTTTTACTCAGATACAACCACTGGAGTGAGGAGCTGACATGCAAGGGATTTAGAGAGCCTGCTCATTTAGGAGGTACAAAAGGAGGTCTGGCCAAGAGATTCTTACCTTCTGAAGGAGCATAAACTCCCAAAATATTGAAGAACATGACTGTGATTGCTCTCTCCCACTCAAAAAGTTAATTGTGAAACTTGTGTGTAAGTGGTAAATAACTTTGGAACACCTTCCTCAGAACATCCTAAAATTCCTAATATTTGTGGAGTTTTGTGGAGGAGAAGCTGTCTATCTTGGAGTATCTTCCTTCCTCCTAAATCCCATGTGCTTCCCTCTTCTCTCCCCCTTAGTGAAGACTCATTTCATGGAGCTCTGTCTGGATAGGTCTAAATTTGACAAGGGAATAAATCTTAAGGGAAGCCGCCCTTACCTCTTCCAGACAAAGCTAGAAGTTGGTACAGACTCCATGATCATACCCAAAATGGATGCTGCCTCCCCAGGGTCACTGGTGCTGTTCGTGGCTTGGCTTTTGGTGTCTTTGGCTTGAATCCTGACATATGTGGAACTCAAGAGCTCTGCTCTGAGCTTCTCTTTACAGGTCTGTGAAGAAGTAGCTCCCAGCCCCCTCCTGGTGAGAAAGAAGTTAGGATGGCGTGAAACACCATTGCTGTCCTCACCTCCCTGGGTATTCTCTCTGTAGGAAAACTCTAGGCAGACTCATCCTCAAATATCCAGACTAGTGCCTGAACTGTCCAGTGCCCCCAGAAATCCCCTCTCTACTGCAGTGTCTGGGAGTGACCACCACCCAAATACAAATAATGAGATGAAAACCTCAAAATCATCGCGTGGGGTCTTTGCATCAGGTCCTAGGAAAGTACACGGGGCTAATGCACTACAAGATATACTTCCCTTACTTTCCTGTTTTACAAGTTACCCACCTCCTTCCTTCCCCCATCCAACACACCCTTCAGGAAAGGAATCTCTCAAGCCTGTAGAGCCTCATCATTATGATATAAACGTTTCCCTGGGTAGAGTTTAAAAAAACAGTACTCTCATCTTCCTCAAATGGTGAAGCCAACCTTGCACATCTGTCAGAAGGGGTCAGAGCTCATCCTCACTCACTTCCAGTTGGAGGTGAGATCGGCTGCCAGCCATCACAAGAACTGATGTGCAGGTTTGGGGCCTCTGAAGCTGGGGCTTGACTGGAGCACCTCACCTACTGACTCACCCGGGGTGGCGAGGCCACCCACCACCTCACTCTGCCCTGAGCTGCCATTTTGATTGGTGCATTTTTTGGTACAACAGGAAGTCATGTTCATGGCATACTCTACGCATGAGAAAGCGGGCGGAAGTGGAGAACACGGGTAAAAATGAAGCCACAGGGCCTCGTAAACCCAAGGATATTCTGGGCACCAAAGTCTCTGTTAAAGTGAGTAAGGTATTCTGGAGCTGTGTCCCACCTCTCATCTACTCCCACCCTGCAGCATTCTCACAAGACAATTTGGGTGGATGGGGATTTTTTTTTTTCCCAGTATGGGGATCAAAGGGGAAATAGTTTAGCAGGATTTTGCATGCAAGATCAATTTATTTTTTATTTTTTATTTCTCCTGGCAACTTCGATTCAAATAAGTAAGTATCTCTCTTTTTTCTTTTATACTTTTCTCTTTATACCGTGCAGATGTTTTATAGCAAAATTATCTGCATTATTCTCTTAGAAATGCAAAGTGCTTCACTCATACTAAAGTCCTCAAAGCTACCCATTCAGTATCCTAGGTCTGAAAATACACACAGGTGAAGAGATTAGGGATGCTTTCCAAACCCCCAACACTGTGAAGTCTGAGGTTTGGAATTCAAGGGCAACTGTGTCATTGGTAAAGTTTCATTTCTTTTCCCCAGAATTCAGACAACACCCCCTTTTAGCCTGTGGATGAGCAGGGAAGGGAGACACATCGGTGAAACCCAAGCTAGTACCTGTAATAATCCACCTGTTATACTACCTCACTGATTCTAAGCTTGGCAGGCCCTTGAAACAATGCAATCTGGTTTAAGTTGGACCATGGAAATTACACTGCTGATGTTTAATATTGCTACAATGTGTGATTATCTACCTGGCACTTTTCCCCCTTCCTGGCAAAATACGAACAACTGAAACACATTTCTAAGGTCCTTCTTGGGGAAAAGAAATTGTTTTCTCTCCTTCACCTCATCTGGGAAGTCCAGCCTCACAGAAGACAACAGTTTAAATTCTCCAGCACTCATGCTTCATTCAGCTGCTCCCATTGCTATTTCCTGTGAGACCGGCAGCTCGCCACGACCCCAGCAACTCTCCCTGGAAAGAGCATGCTGCTGCCCTTGGTGATTTGCACCCCATCTTAAAAGCACTGGTCTTCTCTCTGCCCAATTTGCCTTTTGCCCTTGCTTCGCTAAAGTTCTCCTCGCTCTCTTGCAAAAGCTGCCTGTGTTCTAACTGTGTTCTCTTTCTTCCCGCTTCCTCATGCTGCCCACCAAGGAGACGAACAGTTCCGAGGAGTCAGAGTGTGATGATCTTGACCCTAATACTAGCATGGAGGTAGACGCAGCTATTGTTGTCCTATTTCCTACAATGATTGTTTTTTGGTTTTTGTTTTTTAATGTGTTCTGTAAGAGTAACCTTGCTAACGTCACCAGCCAGTCCAACAAAGTTGTGATGTTAGGGCACCCCTGGGTGTTCCTGTCCCAACTTAAAAGCAAAACAAAACTGAATTCCACTCAATTAATAGAAACCTCTACCTTGCTTATCTTTTTCAAAACAAAATTGTGCGATTCTCTCAAATGCTTGCTTCATATTTTCTTCTCTGATGGGTTTGGCTCCATGTAGAAAATATCCAACTTCATTATTGGAATCTTAGAACGAACACATTTTTTTCCATGGAAAATAGTGTTGTAAAGAGTGGTTGCTTTGCAGCTAAAAGACAAGAACCCATTAGTTTTGGTTTCTCCCTCTTTTGTGTCTTCCTCCTCCACTTTTCCTTTTTTCTTTCCCCTCTGTTATCTTCATCTGGTTCCACTAGAATGGATTCCTCCCTCAAGGCTCCACAAAATCATGTGTTAAGTATGGCTTTGTGGGTGACCAGGGCCCTAGCACTATGACAGCTTGCTGATGTTAATGGGGTGTGATGGGAGTGACTCCAGATCCTGCCCTTCCCCAGCCCAGGGGCTTCCGGGCAGTGACTTGTGCCCAAAGTGAAAGGAAAGAAGCCTCGGGGATGCCTGCCTCCCATGGCCTTAGCAGAGCTTTCTAGAAACAAGGAGTCTGAAACACTGCCCAGGGACTTTTCTCACACTCTAGGCTTAAAAGGAGATAGAAGTGGAACCAACAGCTCCACCAACAGGAACTTCAACCTGCTTTCAACTAGAAATAGGACTAGCATGGTTTGCCACTGAGTGACAACCTTCATAGATTCACAAATGCTATAGAAGTAGAGCAGACATGGAGCCAGCTTTCCTCGCCATTTTGTCTTTTGGAATTGAATTATATTGAAGTGACTGGTCCAAATCTGTGCCCCCATCCCTGTAACAGATAAAAAAGTTTAGAGATTTTTTCCTAAGTATAAAATGGGGGTGGGGGTGGGGAGATGCTTTAAACTTTTCCTTTGAATACCTCTAAGCTTTTCACTTAACTAGATGGACTTTTGTTATTCTAACTTGACCTAATCCCAAAGAAATCTATCATCATATTATCACAACCACCACAAAACCCAAGAGAGATTGTTGGCCTAAGAAAGGGTAAGTCAGCTCTGCAAGATGCCAGTTGGGTTGAATAGGGCCAGAGAAAAATGGTTGAAGGCAGAATAAAATAGTCCCCTGTGGATGTGGGTATTGCCACAGAGCTAAATCTGGCAGATGTGAGTCAATGCAGTTCTCCACTGTGGGAAGAAGTGGGAATGGCATCCGTGGCCTAAATGTACCTTAGAGATTGAGGAAGTCAGGGGAAATGTCTGGCTCGGCTTTCCTTGCTCTTCATAGGCCAGGTACCAGCTTCCATGGAGCCCACACCTTCTGCTTGCAGATGCCTAGTGGTGCATCCATCTCCAGGCCCCAGTGTTGCTTGCATGTATCAGAGATGTCATCTGTTAAGTTGAGAAGACCAGGCAGAAGAAGGGAAAGAGCCAGATAATTTGCATTCCAGAAGGCAATGTGGGACCTTCTTCAGCTCTGGTGCACTGGGGAAGGAAGAGTGACTTTCCCATTCTGTTCTTTAAAGGAATAAGTGGATACAGAAGGATGTGCAGCCAGGTGAGCAATACACACTGAAGATTAGCTGATGTAATTAGATGCTTCAGTCTATAGAAAAAATGCACATAAGCACCCATATGCAGCTTAGCCCTATTTGGTCAGTTGCACAGGTATCTAAGACTCTTATTCATCCAAGGCTTGCAACTCTGCATGGGCTAAGTGAGATGGACCCCAGAGAGACACTATGTATGCATAAGCAGAGGCATTGGAATGTTGATGCATGTCCAAAAATGTTTCAAATGATATAGTTGAGGCAGAAATTTCAATTAACTGGAACTCTCAGTGGGGCATTTGGTTGGTAGCTGCAAATATTCTGCTTAATCAGGCATCTGTACTGTTTGCATGTAGCCCTCGTATGTTCTGTGGTGATCCTCGCAAGTATCAGTGAGCTCTCTGAACTGTGTTGCCATCTTAAAGTCAACTTTGAGCATGTAACAAGGTGCTTAGGAAAGCAGGCTTCTTGGTTCTGCTAGGTTAGTATTTTCAAACACAAATAGCAAAAAGGATATAGGAAGTCAACCTGTTCAACATGAGTTGAGAATTTTCTCATTGCAATTTATTGCAGTGTCCACTGCAGACGATGAAAAGGGTACCTCCTGCAGAGAGCTGTCCTCAAAGACCCAACTTGAAAAACACATGGGCAGGCTACCTCCTGAAGTTTTCTTGTAACTAAAGTGATCGTTTTGGGAATCATTACCAGGCTCAGCCTGGCCCCCAACCTCGTTCGAGTCTTCTGAACCTGATTGTTGTATCTTCTGGTCGGGACCTGTGCCAGAAGCTTCTGAGCCCAGAACCCTGGCTGGCATCCCAGCCACGTGTGCCCTGTGCATTACTCCATTCTGGGCCTCTGCTAAGTCCCGCCCTCCAGCTGGCTGATTGCCCTTGACTTGATGCCAGCATGTTGATTCCAATCCTAGCTGTGTATGAGGCCGTAGGGGGTGAGAGGGTGAGGGAATGTCAGGTTGTCTCCTGCCTTCGCATGAAAAGCACTGCCAAAGCATTCTTTTTCTCAGTTGGTGGATTGGAAGATTCCTTTAAGTAGCAATTTCCTGGGGTCTTTGCTTACACACCAGCTGCTTGCTACCCTCAGGGCTGACATATGTCCCACCCCCAGCCTGTTGGGGGAGATATATGATAATTCCCCATTTGCCTTTTCTATCCAGCCCCTTCTCTTTTACATCCTTGAAAGCTAATTAAAAGGAGAATAAAGCACCTTAAATGCTAGGAATCCCATTTACAAAGCTTTCCAAGAACACCCAGTAATATAAAGGGAGGCAATTATGCTCTGATATTACATCCTTTCTCTTTCCCTGAGGAGAGAGGCTTGTAAATATTAAGTGCAATCCCTTCTTCCCAGTCCCAACCCCAGGCCGCACTACCAGCCAGTGCAAGATTGGTTCTGGGCCTATGTGATTCCCTTCCTCTTGCTCACAGTGAGCACAGATCATAGAGAACCACCCATCGTTCAGCTTACTTCTTTACCTGGTACTGATTATCCTTTGGGGGTAGAGGTGGAAGGGGATGCTCCATATCTGTGAACTGTTTCTACATGGAGGAAGAGTCGGGTCGGGCTGGAAATCAAACACTAGGTTGTCTTGTGAACAAATTAATTCATTTTTTCCTAGTACAGTTTACACTGCTGGATGCCTTTTATTGACAAAGAACACAGACTCAACGGTGGGCTGAGCATCCTGTGCCCATCTGCCAGCTTTTTCAGTCCTGCCCTGCCCCACTGTCTGTGCTGACAACCAGGCTGGAGCCAGGGCTGAAGGGTTGAGTGTCAATATTGCCCACTTAGCCAGTGTCTTTCTCTGAGAAGTCTGGAGCCTTTGTCAGCTGTGTTGGATTTCTGTATGGACCCAGGCAGGCTCCTGATCTGGGAAATTGTCTGTGGATTGTGTCAATGTGTGGGGTTTGCTCTGCCCTCCAATCATAGCACTGTCACTTGTCTGCATCACACACTGGAGTTGGAAGGCCTGAACCAACCTCCAAGACTTTATCCTTAGGGATGAGGATTCTCAGCCAACCTTTTATGTCAAGCCCAGTTAATTAAATGCAACTTAGTTTAAAAAAAAAAAAAACAAAAACAAAAAACCAATACCTCTCTCAGCAAGAAAAGGTCACTCCATCAGAGTCAGAGGTTGTCATGATTCCAAGAAGACTCCACCTCTGCCCCACCTACTTAACATGGAGACAGCCTCACCCACAGCACCGACCAAGTGTAAACTGAACCTCACTTGTAATTCCAGTGAAGATCTTCAACTTGGCTGGGGTGCGGGGGGCACTTTCTTCAATAAAAACAGAATTGGGAGCTTGTGGGAAAGACTTCTGAGAGAGGAGGGAGAGGAAGCACTTAGAAAGCTGAAATTAATTTGGGAGAAAATTTCCAATTAGGGTAAAAATCACAGACTTTCAGAATCAATGGAACTTTGGAACCCTAGTTAACCCCATGCATACCATTTATTTTTTTATTCTACATAACAAAATTTACCATTGTAACCAGTTTTAAGTGACGTTAAATACCTTTATGATGTTATGCAGCCATCACTACTCTTTATTTACAGAACTTTTTCAGTATCCAAACTAACACACTGTACCCCCCAAATGATAATTCCTCATTTGCCTTCTCTATCCAGCCCCTTCTCTTTTAAAAGAGGAAACTGAGGCAATGGAAGTATAACTTTCTGTTTGAACACTAGAGGGTGTCCTAAAAGCAATTTCTGGCTTCCCTAGCTTTTGCTGCCCCACCAGTACAATCCTGCTCCCCACTTGGTCAACTTCATCCCCAGATTGGTTTAATTCTAAAACACAGATCTTGGCAGACGAGACCTGACTTTTAATGCCAATTTTTCTGTGTAAATTTTTCTTCAGTGTTCTAGTTCAGCAAAAAGAAATAGCATTTCCAGCTTTCCAAGGATGAAGTGTGACTTACATAAGAATCACAAAAGGCAGGAGCTCACAGAAAGAACACTAGACTATGGGTCAGAAAAGCTGGGTTCCAATCTGTGCACCATCAGTGTGAGTTCTCAGCCCATTAGCCTTCCTGTGGGAGGCCACATGGCTCCCAGGTACAGATGTTGTGCAGTTGATGTGGACACTTTGAGTGCCATGAAGATCTCAGGTGTGATATCAAAGGACTTTGCACTCCCAAGCTTGTACTCTTGAAACAATGACCCCAACAGAGGAGGAAGTGGGAGATTCCGTGCTTTGCTCCTAAACTTTCTTTGCAGGGGCTGTGGCAGGAATGGCATGGGCAAGTTGCTTCTGGACCTGACCAGAGTGTCCATTCCTGGC